AATCTAAAGGTATGTGCACTTCTGCCACAAAATTTTATAATCATTTCATCTACAGAAACATTAGATGATGGAGTGAAAATGGATTGCGATATTGTGTTTATATGGGATGCTAATGGTTCAAGTTTAGAATACCAAAATGGATGAGCCTCCTCTATGTTTGAAATATGTAGGAAGTTTTTTATTTTTTCAAATTTTCTAATCTGCATATATGATGCAATGGGGTGTATTGGCATTTTTGTATCCTTATTCCAAAGGTCCCGAATTGATGGTGTTTTAAATAAACCTGCATAAATGATTATTCCTAGCCAAATGTGCAAGTCAAACAAGTCAATGTCTATCCATACGTTTCCGTTTTTACTTTTACCATAGATATTGGTATTGCTTACAATTGTCCTCAAAATAGTATTTGTAAAAAATAATTTAAAAATTTGGATAGGATTGACAAGATCAAGATTGTTAAATTCGTATGGCAAATTTGTTTCAGAATCATGCAATGGTAATTGATGATTAAATTGATTAAAATATGGTGGATCTGGAAGATCAATTTGTTGTGTGTCTCTACCACCTCTAGTTCCTTCTCTTCTTCCACGGTTGCTTCTGATTTCTCTACTGCTCCTAATTTTACTAAAACTTGAAGTTTCACCTTCATCATCCTCGCCATCTTCATTATCATTGATTGTTTCTGGATCATTAAAATCTTCAGATAATTCATTATCGTAAAAACCACCCAGCCTTCTTGTAATACTAGCAATATAATATCCATTGCTGGGATCATTGGAATCTTCAAAAATATTAATATTTTGTTCAGGATTCATTTTGATTTTTATTAAAAGTAGTTTTTATTGTTAAATTAAAATTTGACTTTTATTAAAAACAATTATTTCAAGATTAAAAATAAATTGTTAAAAATTGTTTTATTTTTTATTCAAATATTGAGTTTGATTTTCAAATAAATAATTTGAGTTGGATTTTATTTGTCTGAAGGTCCCGGTATTTATAAAAAATTTAGATCAAAGTTATTTACAATTTTCAGGAATTTAATTCCTTCAAGTAATACTCATAATTAATAACTAATATGGGATCACCCATAGGAGAGAATGCTTTTTCATTACCATTTCCATATTTAAGACAGTAATAGTATAAATGTCTTTTCCGTATGTATTTACTAATATTAATATTAATATTGAAATCGAAAATACATTTATTTCTATTAATATATTCCATATTTTATTATGTCTATTTTCCAAAACACAAAAATATCGATATAATGAGTCCCACAAGCAGTTAATTAACAATGATGGTTTTAGAAACATTCTTTAATTAGTATTGCATATAGGATTTCAAACTCCATTGGAATTTCATTTTATTATAAAATGATCAGCAAAGAAAACTTTTTTGTTTTTACACATGTTATTTCTTTATTTGTAATATGTAACCCCAAAATACATTTTTTTAATAGAAGTAGAGGGTTTTGAATATCATTTATGAAATAAGAAAGGTTGTGGTGAGACTGCAGGAAAATATCTTTTTTTATAATTTTTGAGTCCCAATTGTAAATTGCGTCCAGATTTGGACGCAATTTCGTTTAAGGGATAATTGAATGATGATATGTATAAAAAATGCCTTTTTTTATTTAAAAATCAAAAAAAAAATGGGGTCAAATAGTAATTTTTCCGTTTGGTGGGGGTCTGCACTAACTCGAAAATCTACGCCAAATTTGGCGTAAATTTCATTTCCTTTAATATTAAGGGATAATAAACATTTTATAATTTAATATAAAATGAATTTATTTTTTTTTGTAATGTATGAACTCTTCAAGTCCCATATATACAAACATTATAAAAATTTATATTTGTTTTATTCATTATTATTATTATTAATTTTACCATTAGATTTTTTTATTATTATATTATTTATTATTTAAAACTAAAAAAAAAAAAATACATAAAAGTATGAAATTGCAAAATGAGTCATTTGGCCAATTTTATGTTGGATCATATATGTGTGTAAACTTATTCTAGCTTATTGTTGTTTTTGTTGGTGTTTTTCTTTTGACAATTCATATAATTCATTAAATTCTCCACTATTTTCACACATACTTCTAAATGTAGAGTTAGGATTTTGTAATAATAAATATGGAGAATCAAATTCCATTATGTTTCCTGCATCTATTTTTTAAGGAGAGGAGGGGAACAATATAGGTATGTGTAAGTACACATCTAATAAATATATATGTGAGAAGCAAAAAACATTGATAAAAAGAGATATTGATATTTACCCATAACCAAAATTTTATCAAAATCAATAACAGTTCTTAATCTATGAGCAATAGTTAAAATAGTACTATCTTTAAATTCTTCTCTTATGGTAGTTTGTATGAGATGATCAGTTCTAAAATCTACACTTGCAGTTGCTTCATCCATTATAATTACTTTTGATTGTCTAACTAAAGCTCTTGCTAATGCTATTAATTGTTGTTGTCCTTGTGAAAAATTAGAACCACCTTCTTGTACTGGTGTATCCAATTTTAACTCTTGTTTATTATTGTTATTATTATTATTATTATTATTGTCTTTTGTTGGCACATTTACTGTTTCTATACCTACTACTTTTTCTGAAACCATTGTTGTTGTTACTGCTTCAGATTTTGTCATTGAATCTGGTTCATCATCTATAACGGCACCTGATGGTTTTTCATTTTCTAAATTTGGTGATGATAAATCCTCTTGAATTAAATGTGCTCTTTTTAATGCATTCCATAATGTTAAATCTTCATGCTCATTAAATGGATCTAAATTACTCCTATATAAAATAAATATAAATACACACACACATATATAAGCATATTGAACATAAGTGTGTGTGAATTAATAAAATTAAATTTAATATTATTTATTTCTTCACCTTAAAGTACCAGTAAATATTACAGGATCTTGTGGTATTATAGTTATTTTACTTCTTAAATCTTTCAATCCAATAGTAGAAATATCTATACCATCAAGTTCTATTTTACCTGACGTAGGTTCAATAAGTCTAAAGAATGATGTAGCAAGTGTTGATTTTCCACAACCTTTATTTAAAAATTATTTTTTTAGAAGAAAATGTTATTATTGGTATATATATATATAAGTTAAATTTTTTTTGTTATAATATTATATACCTGTTCTGCCAACAATTCCAACTCTTTCGGTTGGTTTAACTTTGAATGAAATACTTTTTAATACAGGTGGATTATCTGGTCCATATTGAACGACCAAATCTTTTACCTCGATTTGCCCTTTATCAGGCCATTCTGAAGGTGGTCTATGATCAGGGATTATTGGTTCAGCTTCTACTTCCAAATCATTTGAATAATAAACTAATCTTTCTACTGCGTTCATATTGGCCTCCTATTAAAATTAAATTATTTTAATAACCTTTCAAGAAGAGAAACAATAATAAGAAAGAAGATTATATATATGCACACACTTAAATACTTACAACTTCTGAAGCTTGTCTAACACACCAATTGAGTGTACCACTTATTTGTAATGCGTAACTTAATACTAAACCTGTTATTGCAGGATCAGTAGAATGTCTCAATATGATAGCAAATAAACTTGCAAAAAAGATTAAAACATTTGCTATTCCCTCCAATCTAAGACCTAACCATCTTTGTACTGTTATTGTTAAGAAATATGCTCTGTTTTCTATATCTGTATATTTTTCATTTGTTCTGTAAATTTTTAATCAAGAATAAAAAAACATTTCTTGTCAATAAATTTGTTAAGACTAGTATAACTATAAACTTATGATAATACCTTATAAATCTTTCTTGTACTCTATATGCACGAATAGTTGGTAAGCCAGTAAGTGTTTCAGAAAAATGCGCATATAATGATGAACGTAATATTGAATCAAGACCTATTAATAATAAATAATTAAAGAAATTTAATTACAAAAATGTTTAAATTATAAATTTTAAATTATTTAAAAAAATTTACGTTTTAATTCACGATTTGTAGCTCTATAATATAAAGCAAAAAGATAATAAAGTATAACTAGCGGTACTAGAGGAACCAGAAACCATACAAATACAATTGATATCAATATAAACGTTCCAATCACGACTGAAAATGTAGATAACATCATCCTATAAGCATCTGATAATATACTATCAACTGTATCCATATCTTTACTGAATCTATATAAATAAATTGATAATAATAAATAGAAATTAGTTTATAAATAATAATAAATTCATACGAAAATAAAATAAAATAACTCCACCCATTAATGATCGTTACATTACCTGTTAATTATTCTACCTAATGGTGTTGTATCAAAGAATTTTGTTGGAGCTCTTAATATTCTTTTAAGTGCACTATTATGTAATCTTTTTGCTGCCACAACACCAGAAATCGCAAAACTAACCCCCATTGCTAAGCCAAAAAATCCTGTTGATATACCCCATGCAAAGTACACACCCATCTAAATCAATCAATACCGATAAAAAAAAATTTAGCATATATATCTTAAAATGACAGATAAATTATTATAATAACAATAATAATATAAAAACTTACATATACAGATGTTGAAATATCAAATGTTTGACTGGTCCAAAATGACAACCATAAATTATTACTAATGAAACGATTGAAATTTTGTTTTGTTAGTGTGATTATAAATTTAATTCATATTTAATTCGTATATTTTATTTCATTTTTAATTAATTACCCAATGTTTGTTCCTTGTTGCAGAATCAATAATAAAATAATAAAAGGCACTAATATAATACCACCGGAAGCCTGAAGATAAGAAACGTATATGGTGTAATCGACAGTTCCTGTTGATCTTTCCTCTGTTGACATCAAACCTTTAGAAAGAGATAATTTTTTAGGTTTTGTTTCAGCATCACCATCAACATCAGCATCACTATCAAAGATTTCAAGAGTATCATCAACCTTTTCTTCCTCATCAGCTTCACCATATTCTTCTATTAATTGAGCAAAATTTTTGCTAGCCTTCATCAATTCATCGTAAGTACCTTGTTCAACAATTTCTCCATCTTTCATAACAATAACATAATCAACATTTGCTAGAATGTGTAAATGATGTGTAACCAATATACGTGTTTTATTTGCCAATGCGCCCTGAATACAATTAGCAAATAAAGATTTTCCAACGTGAGCATCAACAGCCGACAAAGGATCATCCAATAATATGATATCAGCATCAAAATAAACAGCTCTTGCTATATTGATTCGTTGCTTTTGACCACCTGATAAATTTATACCCTTTTCACCAATTTCAGTTAAATCACCTGCAGGCAAAATTTCTATATCAGGTTCAAGACAACAATCCTTTATAACCCTTCTATATTTTTCTTCATTAAATGGTAAGCCAAATGTTATATTATCTCTTAGTGTGGCATTTTGTATCCATGCAGTTTGTGGACAATACCCGACACTACCAGAAAATTCTGTTTCACCTTTAACCCTTTTCATTTCACCAACCAATGCTGATAATAATGAAGATTTACCAGATCCAACAGATCCAACTACTCCAACTAATTTACCTTTAGCTATATTTAAATTAATGTTACGTAAATGAGATTTTGGTATTAAGGGTTTGAGTGTTTGATCGATATTATTTGATGTGCCATCGTCATTTAGAACAACAAGTGTTGCATCATTTTTTTTTCCATTATCACTATTTCCATTACCATTACTATCACCACCATTGTTGTTACTTTTAACTTTTCTGCTAAATCTACGTTTTCTTTTTGCTGATTTTTTTGTTGCTAGATCTTCTGGAGGGGGAGCGGTATCCCATAAAAATTCACCGTCAGTAACTCTGACCGCAAAGTCATCACTTTCAACAATTTTTGGTAAAGAATCCAATTCATCAGCAAGCAATAAACTTTGAATACGAGAAAGCGCTACTAAAGCGTCAGCGATCGAAGCCATTATTATTGGTATAAACATTAATGGCATACGAATTACATTGAATAGAGCTAGTGAAGAAAATATTATAGGAGCATTAAGAACTCCACCAGCCAAAGAGTAAGTAATAAACGCGAGCATGCTGGCAAAAACAGGAATAACCAATGACACAGACATAATACCAGCTCTTACAGTTAATAATAGTCTAATATAACGCATCTCTTTGATCCTCAATTTATTTAAAGCATCCAAAAAACTATCTTCCCATGCATAATATTTAATAACTCTAATGCCTTGTAAAACTTCTTGAGTTAACTTAACACGTTCATCAGTGACCTTTGCAGCTTTAGCACGAAGTGTAGTCAATGATTTCATAATATAACCTTGTAGAGGACCCATAACAATCAATAAACCAAATCCAGCCAAGGCTGAAGGACCAAGATTTTTTATCAATAAACCTAAAGCGATAGCCAACATTATAGGAGAAGTCCACGCAACATGAAAATAGCCACATACAAAATCAATTCTAAATGTGTCAGTGGACATTAAATTTGTGATTTTACCAGCTGTAAAATCACTACGTGCTTTTCCACTTAATACAATAGCTTTACGATAAATAGAGGCTATCAAACTAGTTCTAACAAAAAATCCAGTCTCCATTGCACCAAAAAAAAACATATTAAGAAGGAAAGTTGAACCAAATTGCATAACAAAGAGTATTATAATTAATCCATAACCGTATGCCGCTGAATCTTGCCCCTGTGCATTATAATACGATTTACTTGCATAACTAATAATTTCCTATTAATTGAAAACTAGGTATTAATAAAGTAACAGTAAAATTATATTCATGTGATATGCCAGTGCTCACGTGAATCACGAAAATAAATCGACCTATTAATTACCTGTATTATTAAGGGAGAAGTCACTTGCAACATATCACCAACAAATCTACAAAGACCAGCAATCCAAAATTTCCAAAAAAAAGTACGATTCAATGCACGTATTAAGGAAGGCCTTTTATCACTGCCTGTTTTTTCTAGCTCCTTTTGCCATTCTTTTTCAAATCTATCGCAAACATTTTTGGTTAAACGTTCATCGTTTAACGTGTATAAATCTTCCTTTTCCAAAGGTCTTTGATAACCAAGTTTTATTAAGTCTCCAGACCACCAGAAAGTTAATTTTGATAGAAAATTAGCATTATATTCTGGGATTAAGGTATCTGGTTTTGGTTCCGGTGGCGATTTAGATTTAAAAAAGTTCATATTTTTTTTTTATTCAAAAATTTACATGCATATATATTTATTAAATAAATCGTCAAAAAAAAATTTAAAAAAAAAGAAAACTTCAAGTATTTATTGAATCAGGAAAAAAATACTGATTGTTTTTTGGATAAATTTTTATCCACTATTATTACGTGTCACCTAAACCTAAATTCGCTCTTATAAATACGTAATGTGTAATAAGAGGCACAGAATAATTAAAAATGAAGTAATAATAAGTAATTATGCGATTACTAATCCTCATTCTCGATTTTCTCAATTAAATATAATGCAAAAAAGAAAGAGCTTCGTATTGCATGCCTAATATTTGACTTCAAGTCAATTGACTTTAATGGCTTTCATCATCATCACCATCACCATCAAATAAAGAAAATCTTCTTGCTAAAGTCCTCGAGTTGATTGATGGTGTAAAATTTATCATTAAAATTGAAGCCTTCCATTGATTTTCTATTTTCTACCGTCTTTTCAAAATAGATAGTCGAGTTATTTTATCATTGATTGCAAGTTTTATCCTCCTTATACTATGATTAGAGTAAATATGGATAGTGATTGTTTTATTAATTATTACTCATTCGTCCGGCGGATATTAATATCCGGATCCCAATAAACATACGGAACGGGATTTATACGGAATTAATTGATACTAATACTAATACAGAGTACAATGTTATTGGGTTGACTGATTATCCGTAATTTTTTTGTATTTGTATTTTTTATCTTATTGTTATTATTAATTAATTTGTATATATGTCCGTCCACCCGCATTTCGGATTTGAATTTCTGTGTAATGTCGCAAATGCCAAGAATTAGGATTCCCCAGATAGGAAATTTATGTTATTTATATACTGTTGTGATCGAGAACAGCATAGTGGAAGTTTGTTGTCACACAAAATGTCATACAGAACTCATTGCTCCTGAAGCTTCACCAGTATATAGTTGTTATCTCTTTAAATTGGAGATCAAGTTCAGATCCAATTCAAATCCAGTTTATCACTTACTTTTTATTGCCAGAATGTTTGCCATGTATTGTAAAGCTACGTTGCACAATATAAAAAATTCGTGTAACATTTCAAATTTCCACTATGCTCATTAAGAGAGATTGTGTCTTTTATTTATGATGGGTGATCCTTGATTGGTTATATATTTTGCCGATAATAATAAATAATACACAAAAGGGAAATCAGCCGCGGATTGTTATATATTTCACAAGGTTAATATTAATTTATGCAGGAGACCGACCGATATAAATAAATAAATAATTATTAATTCTTAATATTAATTTTTTTTGATTAGCTGGAGGTGGAAAGGGTAAAATATGGAAAAGAAAAAATTAGAATCAGGGTTGATATCTTCTTCGCATTAAATATTTTTATTATTATTTATCATCTATATTGTACTACTTATCATTATCGATCGACTTTAAACTTACTGTTTTGAACTTGCATGCATATCTTTCATACGTATAACTAATTAGGTAAGTCACGTGTGACTTTAGGTTTTGTTTTTTTACGGTTATGTATAAATAATAATAATTCAAATATAATGGTGACTCTTTTTATTTACTAAATTTTATTCTTTGCATATTACATATTACACGAAAAAATTAATTTCGTATCTAACAAAGGGAATAAGAATATTTATTTGGTCATGAGGTCATTATATTTGTTTATATTACCATTTATTTATTATGAGTATATAAAAAGGAATAAAGTAGATTGGAATGAAAAAATATTTTATTTTTTTAAAAATAAAATATTTCTTCTGTACGCTTAGTTCTTCATTCTTTGAGTTCTTTTTTTAGTTGTCCGTCCTAAACAATTATAAAATTTTTTTAAAAAGTCAGATAGATAAATCTATCATGAAAATCATTATAGCATATTTTATTTTTTTTGCCCTAGTTATTAATGTAAATACATTACCAACTGATAGAAATCATACTACACACAATCCATTTCGTCCAAATTTTGGACCAGAATTAGTTCATCGTAAATATTTTTCCCCATCAATAAAAGAATTTGGACATATATTTAGGTCTCAATTTCACTCTGGTGATCCAAAAGAGATAGCAATTAATTTTGTTGAAGAATTGCATCCGCATTCTAATTTTATAATAAAGAATATTTATCGATCGGAGCATACTAATGTTACTCATGTATATTTCAAACAAGTCATAAATGGTATAACAGTTACTAATGGCGATTTAAATATAAACATCGACAAGCATGGATCAATCATCAGTACTGGAGATTCTTTTGCTTTACCTAAGTTCCGTCGTCCTCTTTCCAACCACAAATGTGCCTCAAAGACACAAAAAGATAATAAAATTGATATTAATATTAATATTAATGGTGATGATGTTTTTGATAGTGATCTAACTTTGGGTATTAACAACAAACAACAATCTATCTTATTTTCATCGAAAGATAAAAGAAAAGCAAAGAAAAGATCAATGGTTAGGGGGAATGCTGAACTTTATAATATCAATTTTGATCCAAACCCCATCATCTCACCCTACGAGGCTCTAACATCTTTTGCAAGTCTATTAAACTTGCAAGCACCTGAATATGATGAATTGACAATTTCAACTACAAATTGGTTGAACGACGAACCTACATTATTAATATCAAATGTATCTTTTGCCTTGTCTGATGTGGTTGTCAAGCAATCCTATCTTCAGCTAGATACTGATCATCAACTACAATTAATCTGGGAATTACAGATTGAAATGGAAAATAACTGGTACCATGCTCATATCGATGCATATTATGGCAATCTATTGTCTTTGATAGATTGGGTGTCAGATGCTACTTATAATGTATTCCCATTAGGCCTAAATGATCCTTCCGAGGGAAGTCGAAAATTAGTAACTGATCCTAACGATGTTATTTCTTCTCCCTATGGGTGGCATTCTCAGGGCCCAAGAAAAAATTTTACTACCACCATCGGAAATAATGTTTATGCTCACGAAAATTTCAATGGTGAATGGGATTGGGGTATATATTATGATAATTAAATATAATTTGTTTAAAGCAATTTAAATTTAAATTAAAAATTATAATTTTATTTATATTTTACAGAGGATAATTATCGTCCAGATGGTGGCAATGATTTATTATTTGATTATCCACTTAATTTGTCAAATACTCCTAAATCTTATATCGATTCTGCTGTTTCCAATTTATTTTATTTGAATAATATGGTAAGGATTTTTACTGATGAAGATAAAAGTCAATAATATCATTATCATCATTAACAATAATTCTATTTAATTCTTAGATTCATGATCTATTTTATAGATATGGATTTAATGAAGTTGCCGGAAATTTCCAAGAAAATAATTATGGCAAAGGCGGCAAAGATCATGATGCTGTCATTGCTAATGCTCAAGATGGATCTGGGTAACTTAATCTTTTTATTGTTAATTAAAATTTTCTTTCAAATTAGCCCTTCCCCTTAATATAATATAATGATCTTTGTTCGTTTATAATTTTAGATACAATAATGCAAATTTTGCCACGCCTCCTGATGGTCAACATGGTAAAATGCGTATGTATGTTTGGGATGTGGTCGATCCACTTAGAGATGGTGATTTAGAAGCCGGTATCGTTGTAAGTTATTTAAACAATTTTCCATACTTGCACTTATCATGATATTTATTTATTGTCATTAATATTAAAAATTTTTTTTTTTTAAATTAGATTCATGAATATTCTCATGGTATATCAACCAGATTAACAGGCGGACCAGCAAATAGTGGTTGTTTAGGATGGGGCGAAGCCGGTGGTATGGGTGAAGGTTGGGGTGACTTTTTTGCGACTATATTACGTATGAAAGAAGAATATAATCGTAGCGTAGAATTTGGAATGGGTGAATGGGCAAATGGTGGTGAGGGTATTAGGGCTTATCCTGTAAGTAATTTATTTAATTGAAGTTAATTCTTTTTTTTTTTTGAAATTTTGTTATTATTGCCATCATCATCATTATCATAATCATAATAACATAATATATATATATATATCTTATCATTAGTACTCAACCTCTCTTAAAACCAATCCTGAAACATTTGGTTACTTGGACAAACCAGGATATTGGGGTGTCCATGCTAAAGGGTAGATACATCAACATTATACGTCAAAACTATAATTTATTTATGCACGCATGCTCATACTAACACTCGCACTCGTTAATTCACATTTTTAATGATTAATTAGTGCTGTATGGGCTGGAATTTTATATGAAGTTTATTGGAATCTTGTTGACAAACTTGGGTTCACATCATCCTGGTTTCCACCAACAGATGAAGAAGATTATAGTTGGTATGATAGATCGATAATTGACGGATTCAATACAAATAAAATTCCAAAACATGGAAACACATTATTTTTACAATTAGTGGTTGATGGTATGAAACTTCAACCATGTAGACCAACTTTTATCAATGCAAGAGATGCAATCTTGCAAGCTGATGAAATCTTAACTGGTGGTGAAAATAAGTGCGAAATCTGGAAAGGATTCGCTAAACGTGGTTTGGGTGTCAAGGCTAAACTTGTTGGCGGTCCTGACTGGGGTGGTGTCAGAAAAGAAAATTTTGATGTTCCTACTTCTTGTTCTCACATCTGTTAAATAAATTAAAACATTATAAAATAGTATGATGACAACGGCTAATTAAATATTTAATTTCTCTTGTTTTAAATAAATATTATAAACTTTTTTCGTTTCATGAATGTTTTCTCAAAATCAGTCGCCTTAATCGAAATCGTATTAATTCGTATTAATATTAATAAATCAAGAAATGATTCTTAACAAAAAATCACATGATATATCAACATCCAGTTAGCGCTCGATATAAGGGAGAGTTAGTTTTGACACTGTTTACTATTACTGTATTCATTATATAAAAAAGATTGGCAAAAGTTTGCTTTATTTTGATCAGTGAATAAAAGGAACTTTTGAGCTTTGTAAAGAGCCGTCTCTATTTGTTTGTTTACGGTTATCTGGTATCATTAAATGTGTGCTTACAGATTCGCATACAAGAAAGGGACAGTAAGTGAGAACCAATGTAAATTCATAAATTTATTAATGACAAGTATCAAAGTATTGTGTATTGCTTGTAATTAATTGACAAGAGTAGCCCAAAAGTTAAGCCATAATCAAAAGGCTACCTTGCAATATCCATTTAACAAGAATCAAAATATTCTTATTACATATTATAATTTAGAAATAAAAATAAAATAAAATAAAATAATTATTGTGAATAAATTTATAATGGAGATTAAATTGGTCACTCTCTTTTAGAATCTAATGTAAATAATTGTTAGCAATAATTAATGGATAGATAATAATTTTCAATTAATTAATAATAAGATTTTTATTCACCTTCAGCATTAAAGAGAAGAGAGTTAAAGCCAAGAGTATCTAATGGACTGTCATTACTTGTATAATTTTTAAAGCTTCTAAATTTAGCAATCTCTTCATCTAATATTCTACTTGTATAATATGCATCTGGATGCGATTTATGTGCTTGTTGTGAATTACTACTGCCACTACCACTGTTGCTGCTGCTGCTGCCATCATCATTAAAATCAATTTCTTTTAATTTATTAAAAGAAAAACTCACAAGCTCTAGAATAGTTGGTCTTTTAGATGGGTCCACATCCCAACATCTCTGCATCATTTGCACATAATCATCAGGCATTCCAGGTAATATTAGTGGTCTTAAACCTTCTTCACATATATCAAAAATTAAATGATGATTGTGAGCCCTATCATCAAATGGTGGATGACCTGCAAATATTTCCCACATTAACATCCCAACACTATAGATATCAGATTCTTTTGTATTCTTTGTATTCTTTGTGCCTCTAAGTAATTCGGGTGCAACATATGATACAATTCCATAGATTTTATTTGATGATTCATCATCAACTGGCCCACATAATCCCAAATCTGTAATAAAACAATTGCCTCCTTGTACAAGTATATTACCACTATGTAAATCACAATGGATTAAATCTTTCCAATGTATCTGATATAATGCATAACATAAATAATAAAATATTGTAATTCTGTCCTTTAATGTTAGATTTTTTTGTAAATAATCCCTTAAATTTCCATCTGATAAATAAGTTAAAACAATTGCATAATTTCCATTATCTGGAAATTTAGTTATACCAAAGCACTTAACAATTGATGATGATTTAATTTTACAATAATTCACTGCCTGAGATTGAATATAAAATCAATTAGTATTATATAATACAGATTGTTTATTTTGTTCAAATGACAACTACCAACCTCATCAAAAAAGGCTTTTCCTGGATTACTTGAATTGTTTAAACTTTTTAATACTACTAGTTGCCCTCTATCTCCAAAATAACTAAATTCCTTTGTATTTTCATTGTAATCATCAATACTTCCCCTTATCCATCCAGCAGTAAAAATCGAACTGAATCCATCTTCAGTCAACTTTGTTATATCATAAAATTGCTCAAAAGGTATCCATTCTAAAATACAGTCTGGCAGAGATGATTTCATTTGACATTGTTGAATAAAATCATCAATTATGTTATTTCCAGATGTCCAAGTGGTGA